GTAGGGAAATGCTCGTAGTGCAATTAATATAATTTAAAACAAGTATATAAATATATGGCAATGCACTAGCTTGTGTAGAATATCAATGTGTTCTACTTACAAGCTTCTTGCTGTGTCTCTGCTTGCTGAAGTAGCTGGAGGAGGACAGGTAAATCCTTTCTTTCAATGTCAAAATGCCTGTTTTGGGGGAGAGGATGCCTGGATTTTCATCACCAGGAGAGTTTTGGGGACTTCAGTGGTCAGCTGGAGGTGTGGGGTAGGGGAGAGATGCTGGGTGTGCGGAGGATTTTGGGGGGGAATAAGCAGAAAGCAAGCGTGAGCAGCCCGAAAAGATGTGAAGCCTTTGGAGGGGAGCGTTCCTTAGCTGTGTGTCTGAAATCATCTCTCAAATGTAATCTGCTTGCTTGGCAGGTTTTGACTATCCCAGATCTTGTTTTAGTCAACTAAAGCAAATTCATATGCAACAGCTTGAGTTGAAACAAATTCCTGTATTCAAATAGGGGAAAAAAACCCATGTTATTATTCTGTTAGCAAACCTCCTTTGGTTCTTAAATCATTAAATCTAACCAGATTGCTAAATAAATCTGCCTGGGAAGATAAAGGTAGATGTGAGAGCATGCATCATGCAGGTACTGAAAGTGTCAAATGCCTTTTCACCAAGATTTCATTTAATTTAGCCTTTATTTTTTGCTTTTGATTGCAAAGTTAAATCTGAAAAGGTCATTTGAAAAGCTTCAGATTATAGCTTTAAAGCCCTTTTAATCTTTTCTAATAAATAGCTGAGTAGGGAATAAATCTATTGGGAGCTCGGAGCTGAGCTCTGATTTTAAGCCTCAGCACAAAATGTATTTGTAATTGTAATTCAATGTCCATATACAAACAACACTTAGAAATTATCTTGTATATAATTACCTTAAATAAGTTTGACTTAGAAGAAAAGGTGAATGTTTATCAAAACTGGTTTAATAAATGAAACATTAATTGGACCTATTAGCTTGACAGATTCTGTCACTGTAGGCTGAATTATTAAAGTGATTTAGGCACAATTGAAAATACCAGTTTTCGGTGAAGCTGAGCTGCAGTTCTTACAGGTTTCCAATAGCTCTTCTGTTCAGAGATTTCTTTTAAATGGCAATAAATGACTGTCTGTATTAGGTGCCTCGGTAAGGCAGGGTTTTAATAAAAGCTTTGCATAATAAAGACTTGAAAGCGTTTTGATTTTGGAAAAACAACAGCAGCAAATCAAAGCGACAGTGTCTGAAATGCTGAAAATACTCTGGGTTATGCCGCTGCTATATATGACATTGTCTAACATCTGAGTAGTCTTCAAAGCGTTTTTTCCCCTCATTCCATATATAATTAAAAAGCAGCTTCTTCTAGCTCATTAAAATTTAGAATCGTGGAGCAGTGTACTTTCGTATTTATTTAAATTAATAAAGCACAACCTTAATATAGACTATAATAACTTCAAATGTTAAATCTCTCTTGTGCAGCTAACACTTTATTTTTAAACAATGTTTATCTGCTCTTCATGAATACCAAATTAAAAATGTATATGGTCCCCAGAAGCTTGTCATATTATTTTGGAGACCATTCAACTGACTTTCACCATATACTTTTTATTAATTATACAAAGACAGCAAAATCCCCAAAGTTAAGTTGTTAATGATGTGAATACAAATAAGATAAAGCGATGGCTTTTCGGACATAATGATGGCATCTCTCTCTTTTCACAGGCTTTTGGAAATGCAAAAACGGCGCATAACAACAACTCGAGTCGCTTTGGCAAATTTATTCAAGTGAATTATCAGGAGACAGGCACCGTGCGAGGGTAAGTGGAAATTAGTAGTTCACAGGCTGAAGATGCTGTGCGTACTCTCAACTGCACATGGAGCCTAAATGGATGTTGTAGGGGATATGCAAAATAGAAGGCTAATTTTTTTGGCCAGTATGTTTCCCAAAACCTAATGCAAAAAAAAAAAAAATTATTATCTTTTAGTATCTTTAAATCCATTGGTATGAAAGTGTTGGCATATCTGAGCTGCACATTGAAGTATGAATATACCTGAGCTGTCTTTAAGCCAGTTGAGGTCTCCTTAATCGTGATGGCAACCTTATAATTAAACTGAAATGGAACTTTTCCTTTTAAGATAGCAGTTAAGGCAGGAAAGGGGAACGTTTTAGCTAGGACGGGTTAGAGGACTTGGAGCATCTGATGAACAAGTAGAGGCTGTGAGAGAGCTGGCTTTGCTCAGTCTCGGGAAGAGAAAGCTAAGGGAGGATTTAATCTCCAGCTGCCTGATGGATGTTACAGAGGCAATGGAGCCAGACTTTTCTTGATCGCTGTCTAATTCCCCATATGCTTCTGTCTCTACCCTGAAGTCTCTCTTTAACCCAGCCCTTGACCAATTAGGGCCTCTTTTTTCCCCCGGGCCATTGCAAGGACATCCTCGTCTTCATCATGGTTCTCCAGAATTCATTTCAGCATCTCTTCTCCTTCCCAAAGGTTATGGGACATACAGCTGTGACTCAAACCTTCCTTCTCCGGGGGAGGGCTGCAGCAGAAGTGCTGCATGTTTGGAAGCCTATGGATGAAACCTCCTGGGTGGGCTTATCTAAGCCCAGCTTTCTCTTTGGCTTTAGACAATTCAGACAGCATCAGGTCACCACAAAGTGACTCAAGCTAGCTCTAAATGAGCAGGGCTATGTTAATGCTGCTTTTTGTCTGGGTTAATTAACTCAGCTGGAAAAATGAAGAGAAGAAGTGACATTCCAGGGGTTGTATAATTTCTGTAGCTAGCTAAGAGATCTCTTGCTGGGACTTTGTTGTTGTTCTAGAGAATTGCTTTTAAATTTTTTTTCTTTCGTGTTTTCCAGCAGAACAGTATCACACAAATAGCTGCCATTAATTTTTTTAATGAGCTTGGGTAGTCTTTGTACCTTCCCACTGTTTTTTCATCCTACATCAAATCTGATGTTCTTTTTTTTTTTTCTTCTTTAGTTCTGGTGAACAGTCGTCTTAAAAGGATAAGCCTTGATTTTTTTTTTTTTTTTTTTTTTTTTTGTATTGCACGTACAAATAACGAGACAACAAACTTTTTTTTTTTTTTTTTTTTTGGATACCTACTGAAATACAGGGTAACAAGAATCCAACAAAATGGCCTAACAATGTATTATCTTGCCATGCTATATCAGCTGCATGGAAGTGGCCTCTGTTTATGCTTGACAGACAGGTGCAAATGGCATTGTATTCATATACTCTAGTTTGTAAAGTAAGAGGAATTTTCTTTCTTCAAAAAAATGCACTTGCTTGGTCTTTGGTTGCATGGTGTGATGTGACTGTGCTTTGCTATAAACTTACAGTGCTGCCCCGATGAAAATAAAAAGACATTTTAAAAAATCTGTGAGCAGTTCCTGGCATATGAGACCACAATATTTTCCCACACAAGATCGCAAATATTTATTTTTTTCAAAACTTAGTATAGATCTTATGCGCAACCCGAGTCAACTGTTGTCCTGTATTCTGCATGTTATTTGCTTTGTTAATGTAACTGTAATTTGCAGCCCTGAATCAGAATTTCACTGTTAGGAGGCTGAAAATGGCAGTTTGGATATTTGCTTACAAACCCTATGAATATAATGAACCAAAACTTGAAGTGAATTTAAACTTAAGAGATGTAATAGCCAAGAGATTGAGTAGCAGCCAACCCCACCCCATGAAACGAAGTCTTTGAGGATGTCTTTAAAATTGATGGAGCATGAGCAATGGCTGCAGTTAAGTGTGTTCCCATAAGGCTTTATGAATTTATTTTGTCCTGGTCAATGATAAGTGAGTTCTGGAGGAAGGTCTTTGCAACCTGTTTGGTCCTCATAAGGTCATCAAAAGCCTCAACATCTGACACGCTCCATAAAATTGCAGAAGAGCCAGATAGGAGGCATTTTAATTAAAAGCAACAGTGCACAGTATAATGGTAAATCTGTGCAATGGCATGAGGCTGTGTATCAAATACCATGAGTTGGCGCTTTCAAACATGCTGTGCTTGGGTGTTTTGCATGTTGGTGTTTGTATATGAAATTCAGTCTCAGATTTCAGATGATATTACCTAGGATGCTAAGTACAGGCTCTGTAGCATGCTTAAATGAGTATTTTACACGAAATCACACTCTCAGAACTCCTTTGCTTTACTCTTAAAGGTGGATTTGACATAATTCGCAACAGTAAATGGAAAACATTTGAAAACATCTACTTTTTTATGCTTAAATTGGTTTTCCTTTTCACTGTCCTGTTAGAAGAGAGGACATGTTTTTCTTGGGACATGTGTTTATTGTGACCTTTACACTAAGCAAGGGGTATCTTACCACAACAGCATTTTAGCTGCATCTACAAAAATATTTTTAAAAATAAAAATAAATTAAAAAATTTACCCTGATTTAAGTAGTGGTTTGGACCAGATGACCTCTAGAAGACCTTTGCAACCTAAATTATTGCATGAGAGTGATTTTCTTTTTTTTTTTTTTTCCCCCCCTTCTTTTTGGGTCTGTAATAAGAGCAGAAAACACAGGGGAAGGGATGAAATGTGAAGGGTGGTGGATGTGATCCAGGTGGTTGTACAGCAGCGTGCTGAGCTACTGCTCAGGGATGGGAGTGGGATCTGGGACACTCTGGTACCTTTTTCACTCATCTGTTCACTAAGCCTGCAGTGAATTTATGGCATGACTTGGAAAGGAAAAATTGATTTCAGGTTAGAAAGAGGATACTAAAAAATCTGTCGGCAAGGAACATCCATAGACTATTCTCAGCTTCCTCGCAGGGAATAAATAAAAATAAACTTTTTTGGTGCACATCATACAGAGGAATAATAATGCTTTGCTATCTCTCTTTCTTTACTCGTCCTATCCAGCAAGATCATCCCATTGAGGGCTGGATATGCCATTTCCCGTAGCCTCTCCTAAGAGCTGCTGTAAGAGTTGTCAGAAAACATCTGCAGCACATCCAAACGATTTATTTCATTTTATTTGTTACTGAAAGGAGGGCAGAACTACTGAGATGCAAGTAATAAACAGGTCTGTCTTCCCCATCTGCAGACTACAGTGGAGAAGCGAGTGTAGAGGCACCTCCTTGTCCTACCATGCTCAAGGTTCATTGGGTTTCCAGATTCATACGTGGCCGCTAATGTTGGTGCCACGTCACTGGGCATCTGTAGCTGGAAAAGCACAGCTACATCATTAAAACTGCCAATTATAACTCTGGTTTTTAAATCCCTGTCATTACTGGTTATTATTGTTTGGAAGAAAAAACCTGTCGAAGCTTGTTTTGGCTCTACAAGCTTGAAAAAAGCATTTAATATGTAAATTAAACATGTTTATTATGGAGGCTCTTAGGATAAAATGTAAACTCCAATAAGGAGCTTTTGCAATTGTTTATTTTTTGACTGTAGCCTCAAGTTAATAACCTGAGTTTTTGTTGGGACGTGGCTCTTCTGGAAGAAGGAATGGTGATTTGGGGACCGATTCTGCAGCTAAATCTGATCTTGCAAACTTTTGCACCCAGATGTATTTCTTGTGTGCACAAATCTTGGTCTGCAAGCAATTTTATTTTGCGGGCTTTGGATTAAATAGGTATCCGAGATTCTTCATTGCTGTCAAAATTTCCCCCTGTGCTCCCTGCCCATAGGCTAATGTATCTGAGATCATGTTTTTAATATCCAAGTTAGTGTTGGCTTTGTATCAAACCAAAAAAACCTCAAAAGCCAAACATAATATTGGGCTTGTTCTGCCTAGGAAGAAATTTATATAAGTAAGTGAAACAAGGCTGAAACTTTTTTTTGTGCATAGGAAGACTGAAAAGTCCCGGTAAAGCTGTGTTCATTTAGATTGAATATTGGATCAATGAATAACGCTTTTATTTTTTCCTTGTAGAGCTTATGTTGAAAAGTACCTCCTGGAGAAATCAAGACTAGTCTATCAGGAGCACAATGAACGGTAGGTGCCTATATTTTGCTTACAGGGTTGGTTTTGACTTCCATATGTGCCAATAGTGTGGCACATATAGCTTAAAACCCTGTTTGAGCTGGCATGGGGAGAATCAGGATTTTCAGGCTCCTGACCCTGTGCTTCAAAGGTAAATGGTGCATTTTATATTTTGCTGTTTAGGGAAGAATGTACTACCCAGGGAAAATAAACTCCATTATTTTATTGACAGTCCTTGACTTATATTTTCCATTGTCTTTATGATTCATGTCATGTAGATTATTACATACCATTTGTTTTCTTGTGCAACTTGTAAGCTAGTTAATATCTAATTTGGGGGAGAAGATGGTATTTTAGTTCTGTTTTCCAGTTCTTAACACATTGAAGCCATCAGAAGGGCCTCTAGAAAAAGCTGGAATTATATAGAAAATAATTTAAGCAAATTGTTCGTTCCTAATTGCAACATGTTATTTGTTGCATACTCCGCTCTCAGTGATTGTTACTCTGATTTTAAATAAATTTGCTGCTTCTAGTTGTCTTTCAACTCTTGACACTTCTGTCTGCATTTCCCTTTTGAGGCAGATGTTGTGCAAGAAGTTTTCTCGAATGCTCATGGCTGATCCCAAAGTTAAAAAGCACATACAGCCTTGACAAATGTACTCTTGGGGGTTGCAAGATGATTAAACTTGGTTCCTCTTGGAAAACATCCAACAGAAAAGCAAAGTTTTAATTTTAGAAATACTGCTACACTCTTAGCGTTAATTTGTGTTAGAGTTGTCTTGAAGCGAAACAGAGGAGTGTCACTTGGGGTGTTTTTAATATTAGTAATATTCAAGTATTTTGAATATTTGAGTAGCTGTAAAATGTGAAGATTTTTCCATTCTGTTGTACAAAACTGCAAGTACAAAATCATTACCTTTTTAATGGTAATAAGGTATTAAAATAATAATAATTTCTGTATTGCAAGGAAATATGTTGTTTTGATTCTAATAAATATATGTAGGCATTGCACGTATTTCTGAAGGAAAATATGACGATGTTGGCTAGGAATTTTTAAAGTATATTCTAGGGCAGTGGATGTCCTTGAATAGAAAAGAGGATTCTCATTCTCCATTACTTTAAATTAATCTTTTACATCACTTCAAAGTGGGCGCGGGCCATTTCTAAACAGTGTTCAAGTCTGAGTTTGGAAGCTGGAAAATCAGGTTATGAAGTTTACATGCACTTCTCTGCTTAGTGCTGCTGTTTATTTTGAAGTCTAATGTCTCTCTCTTTTTTTTTTTTTTTTTTTTTAATTTTATTTGTCACTAGGAACTACCATGTATTTTATTACCTCCTGGCAGGAGCGAGTGAGGAAGAGAGATCAGCATTTCATCTGAAGCAGCCTGAGGAATATCATTACCTCAACCAGGTGGGCATACTGTACAGGAATACTATACATGGTCTTGCCTTTTCTGCTGCTGATATTTAATGCTAATAAAGAAAATGAGTGGAGTAGTAAAAATGGATTGTCTTAATGCTCTGTAGGCAGCCTTCCATCATTGGAAATAATTCTGCATTGGCAATCTGAACACCTGATAGTGTGAAAAAAAAAAAAGTAAAATCAGTGTTTTCCATTTTTGTCCTCTAACTGGGATATGTTAAATATATTGTGTCTTTAATTGTCGAAGGGAGAAACAAAAATTTACCTGTTATCTGTTTGAATGTCATTTACTCATTAACATCTATCTGCTGACTAGGAGAAAAGGGGCAAATGTGTGATACTAGTAGCTCTTCAGGATATAACATCTTGCATGAGGTAGTCCTAATTCTGTAACTTCCTGGCTGGCTGTTAGCATGATCCTCTGAATTTAACAATGTAATAAGTTTAATATAAAGAAAAACACAGCAACCATTGAAAATGTGTGAATTAAAAATTAGTGAGGTATTACCAATGGCCAAATAAACTCATATTTTGGAAAATCTGATTTAGTTCAGGTGTTTAAGATGCAGTTGTCCACTGATGCTTGTAAATAAGGATTTTACTGCTTTTTGCTCAAAAGAAAAAAACTAAAAAAAGGAGTAGGAATATGTGGAAGAGTAGTTAGGTTATACGTTGATTTTAACTAATTGCAATTTTCTTGGAGCTGAAACATGATTACCCATAGTGATTGAACTCATAAGCTGGACAGAAACTTGGACACACATTACAACCCAAATAGCGTTTAGTCTTTCTAGAAATATGATTTAACTCTGGAATACATCTCAATTACACCGGGCTTTTTAAAGATCTTTTTAAAGCGAGCTGTCAAAACCAAAATCTATTGTAATATTAATGACTCCCACCCACTCTTAGCAGGATCAGGAAATTCACACAAATGAGTAACGTATTAAGAGCTGAAGGCTTTTTGCTCACCATCTTTGTGCCTCAGGCGTTAGTTGGAGAATGTGGTGTGATCTTCACGACCATCTGCGCTGCTGTTTTGCAGCGGGAAAGTGCCAAGATCATTTGGATCAAATGTTTTGTCAAATTCACAGGTTTTGCTGGGGCAATCTGGTAGTTTTATGTTAGTCGAAAACATTGCTTTTAGTTACAGCCCTTTCTTTTTTTTAATAGCAGTTTAAGGGCATTACTATAAATTATAAATCCAATGGCATGTAGTGTGTAGAACTAGTAGGAATGCGATAATTTAGGTTGAAATGTTTATTTTACTCTAAATTAGGATGCTGTTGGGCAAGTAGGCTGGAGAAGGATGCTGAGGGATCAAGGAAGCAGTCTCTGTACTTGCCTGAACACAGTGTATGAATAGTAGTGACAGTCTGGATTTTTAGTTTTTTTTAATTATAATAAGTTTAAAATTTTTAATAATTAGGATTAGTGTTAAAGAGACAATTTAACACTGACAGCTATGGCAAAATGGCTCCTTCAGATGTGTTCAGGGCGTCATTTTATATTAAGGCTTTCTGACAGTGCAGTAACAGCTGTCCCATGTGCTATAGACAAAGGGGAAAAAGGAAAATAAGGAGAAAACAGGAATAAGAGGTAGTGGAGGAATGGGAAAAGAAACTTTGGAAACATAAAAGGGGGAAATTTTAGAATGACCCTTGTAGCTTCTTAAAGTCCTAGAGGAATCCCTGCCTTTTTTAAAGGAAAAAGAATGAGCTCAGAAATGAACCTAAGTATTTAACTAAAAATTAAATATTAAAATTTAGAAGCTATAAAATACTGAACCAGGCCCCTTAAGTCAAGGACTGACTCTGTCCTTGAGTCAAGCATTATTTTCATTCTCACAGGTTCCTCAGCTCACGTTGTGTTATGCAAAACAAATGTGCATTTTGCATTGCAGATGAGAAATCATGTATTCAGATATTTCACCTAAATTTGCTGTTATTCCATTGATCTGTAAATGCAGGGAGCAGGTTTGAAACAAAAAAAAATTATTTTAATTTTTTTTAAAGAAAATTTATTTAAACTATCCCCTGAGCTTCGATGACTTCTCCGTATCTCATACCAATAGCAGGTATACCTACCATTGCATACCCTGCAGTTTGCTGAATATTTTCTATGCAGGTTATTCACATTTATCCATTTTGAAATTAGTGATTTGCAGGATTAGATCCTTAAAGTTCATCAGGAGCTCTGGTGCCGTGTGTCACTCCCTCTTGGGACTGGTCACTGACATGTGCTTTGACTTGTCTCAACTCCATCTCTGTCTGGTTGGAAAAAGATCTAAATTCCTGAAAAGCTTTCAAGTGTTGCTTTCTAATCGGTTGGAGAATCGCACTTTTGTGGCACTTACATGTGTCTAGAGCAGAGGTTGACAATAGAAACAAAAAATTGGCTCTTCAGTGTGATTTTCCATCAATAGCTCTTCAGCTTTAGGTAAACCAAAAGTTTCTCCAACCGTGGAGAAAAAGAAAGGATCTTAAAATCCTTTAAGCTTATTGCCTTGAGAGGTCCTTACTGTCTTGAAAACACTGTAAGCAGGAGTCAGAGCACCATGATTGCAAAAGCATTATAAATCTTACCTTAGAAAAAAAGGTAAGAGTAAGGAATAACAACAATTATTTTACTTGGAAAATTGATGTTACTGCCCTGGTTAAAGAGCAGGTAGTGGGAGTTATTTTTGGTCTGAACGCTACTTAACCTGGTCTGCCTTGCTTTCAGATGACAAAGAAACCCCTCAGACAGAGCTGGGATGATTATTGCTATGACTCTGAGCCGGTCAGTACAAGTACCCATGTCTTCTGTGTTGCTGGTGCAGGGCTGCTGCTCACTTGAATTTGTTAGGTGCACCAAGATGTGAGCAGAAAATGAAGTCAAATTAAATTTAACCTACTAATTACCCTCTCCTTTCTTGTGCTCTGCAGTGGTGTTGCTTGTGTGTTAGCCTATGACAATACCGGTGTTTTTTCACTTGCCCTTTTTTGCTTCCTTCCATCTGGAAAGCTTCTTCAACAGTTGGATATGGTCATGTGGTTTTAGCAAACTAAGGGGGTTTTTGTTCCTTCTTGATATAATACATGATGATTTAGGGAAATTGTGATACAGCAGCAATGTGAAAATTGAAATTCCTTTCTGATAAAACAGCAAATCAGTCTCTTGAAGCCCTAAGAGATGCATCGGTTCATGATAGTTGTAGCTGTATATCTGCTTTCCAGCTTCCAGGGGAAAAAAAAAAAGACAAACTCAAAAGCATCCCCCCCAACCATCTGTGAGAAAATCAAATCCTGGTATTATTCAGAATGCAAAAACAAATCATTCTCCTAAAATAGTTCTGCTGACATGATCATCCTTTCCAAATGGATCAACCCAAAAAAGGGAATGGTGAAGCTTATCCCCCTTCCCCGGCTCCTCCTGTGCAACAGAGTCAGAGGCAGTGGCTTCAGTTGGCCGACGTGCTTTGGGTGTCTGTGTGTCCCATGGTGGTCTCTAGTGGTTTTGTCTTGCACGGGGAAGCATGTTTCAGATCAGCTGCATGTTGTTCCTGCTAATTTTACCATGTGCTTAATGGTTGCTGAACTCTAGCTGATGCATCTGGGAGAGTAAGAGGTAATCTGTGAAGGAGCTGGGTTTCACTTGACCTAAATAAATGTCTTAACATTAAGATTTTGCTGCAAAATCCTTAGGAGGGGAGGAGGGAAAGGGAGTCTGACCCCTCAAGATTTAAAAATATTGAATATTGCATTGACATCCTTAATACATCAGCATCCTTAGAGGTCCTACAAGAGCAGGGAATGAAGAGCAGATGGTTTTCTGTATACCTCAATACACTTTACTAAGTTACAAAGACCTTAATTGCTTAAGGAATGGGTTAGGACAATTTACTGGAGGAAGTAAAATTAAAACAAACCCCAAATTTGACACCTTCTCCTGGAGGAGGGCAAGTAATGCCCTGCCAGCTTGGGGATTACCGTGTTATACGTTCCTATTTTGCACAGCAAAACTGTGTGCCATTATTATTTGGCTGTTTACCTGGTATTTTATTTTGCTCGGGATCTTTTTCTGTGGTAAATCACGTCTTTGCTTCAGTTGATGATTCACTCTTAAGCATCTGCTCAACTCTTCCCATAGCCATGGACTCAACCTGCTGCAGACATCTGGTTTATAAATAAACCTTATTTATTATATCCTCTTTAAATTTTCCATTGATATCCATGGATTGCTTCGATGTGTCGATAATAAGCAGGGGACTCGCTTTTCCTGGGAAACTAATTGCTCCAGCAGAATATTAATGATGAGTTTGGTCTCTGGGTATGGACTTTGTAATGCTTGTCTGCCCTAATATCAAGGAAATTCTTTTTTTTTTTTTTTTTTTTTTTTTTTTTTAATTTTGGCTCCTTTTTTTTTCTTTTGGGGAGGCGT